AATGAGAGCATGGGGGAGGGGGGGAAGGTGTAATCTCAATGTGCAGATGACTTGGAAAAGATGAAGAGGGGGAAAAAAAAGAAAAGAAAGAGCAGAAAGCGTGCAAAGGCAGGAAACAGTCCAGGAGAGTAAATACAAGGTCTTTCTTCCTTTCTCTCTCTCTTTCCTTCCTTTCTCTTCCTTTCTTTCTTCTCTCTCTCTCTCTTTTATTTTTTGTCGGTCGTGGGGCCTGAACTCTGGGCGTCAGCTCCTCCCCTTCTTCTTCTTCTTCTGTCATGAGGCTTGAACTCTGGGACTGGACGCTTTTTCACTCAAAGCTAGTGCTTTACCACTTTAGGCCACAGCTCCACTTCCGGTTTTGGGACGGATAATTGGAGATTATCCATCTCACGGACTTTGCTGCTTGGTATGTCTTCAAACCTCAGTGCTCAGATCTCAGCCTTCTGGGTAGCTAGGATTACAGGCATGAGCCACCAGTGCTCAGTTGTGCAAGTTGTGTTTCTTTTAGGCTTCTCCTATATGGGTAGAGACTGAGAGTAAGTCAACAAATTTGCAATAATTGACTTATACCTCCTGGGAAGTGCTTCACAGAACCTACCTAAAGGCTTGTGGAAGGAAAATGAGGTGTCATCGTGCTGCTTCAGCTAAGCTAGTGCAGTTCAAGTGCCACCCACTCACTGGTGTGAACAGCCCCTACTCTGGCAAGCCACAACCTCTCTTTGCCTGGCCACAAGGGAGCAGCAAAGCACTAGGAGTGGCTACAGGCTAGGGCCACAAACAATGGACTACCACACAATCCTAACCATTTTTCTCAGGGAAAAGGGCTTCAGAAACTCAGAGAACACTATATCTGTCTTAGAGAAAGAACAAGAAATCACCTAAAGAGAAATTCTTCTCTAAATAAACTGCATGCTCTTTTATGTGCACATGTGTGAGAGTATGCATGTGTACACATACTGGTCCTGATAGTATGAACTCAAGGAACGTGCGTTCTTCCTTGGCTTTTTTCTTCAAAACTAGTACTGTACCAGCCGGGCGCTGGTGGCTCACGCCTGTAATCCTAGCTACTCAGGAGGCTGAGATCTGAGGATCGCGGTTCAAAGCCAGCCCGGGCAGGAGAGACCGTGAGACTCCTATCTCTAATAAACCACCAGAAAACTGGAAGTGGTGCTGTAGCTCAAGTGGTAGAGTGCTCGCCTTGAGCTGAAGAGGGACAGCGCCCAGGCCCAGAGTTCAAGCCCCACGACCAACAAAAAAAAAAAAACTAGTACTGTACCATTTGAGCCACAGCTTCACTTCTGGCTTTTTGCTGGTTTTGGGAGATAAGTGTCTCATAGACTTTCCTGCCAGGGCTGGCTTTAAACCACAATCCTAAAATCTCAGGCTTCTGAGTAGCTAGGATTATAGATGGTTGTGCTGCTGTTGCTGCTGCTCCTTCTCCTCCTTCTTTCCCTTTTCCCTTTTTTTAAAAAAAATTTATTTTATTGTAAAGATGCTGTACAGAGGGGTTACAGTTACATTCCTTTCCCCCTTTTTTTTTTTTTTGCCAGTTGTAGGGCCTGAACTCTGGACCTGGGCGCTGTCCCTCAGCTCTTCAGCTCAAGGCTAGCACCCTACTACTTGAGTCACAGTGCCACTTCCAGCTTTTTCTGCTTATGTGGTACTGAGGAATCAAACCTAGGGCCTCATGCATGCAAGGTAAGCATTCTACCACTGAGCCACCTTCCCAGCCCTCCTTTTTTTTGTATACTCTTTTTTGAGACAGACTCTATGTAGTGCAAAATAGCTTCAAACTCACTTATTTTATTTTGTCAGTCCTGGGGCTTGAACTCAGGGTCTGGGCACTGTCCCTGAGCTTCTTTTTCTCAAGGCTAGCACTCTACCACTTGAGCCATAGCACCACTTCTGTTTATGTGGTACTGAGGAATTGAACCTAGGGTTTCATGAATGCTAGGCAAGCACTCTACCACTGAAGCCCATTCCCAGCCCCTTTTATTTTTGTTTAGGGCTTGAACTCAGGGCCTGGGAGCTGTCCCTTAGCTTTTGTGCTCAGGGCTGATACCACAGCTCCACTCTGGTTTTTTAGGGGGAGGGGTTAGTTAATTGGAGATAAAGAGTTTCACAGATTTTCTGCCAGAGCTTCCTTAAAACCACAATCTTCAGATCTCAGCCTCCTGAGTAGTTAGAATTAGAGGCATGAGCCACTGGTGCCCTACCTTGACATCACTCTGTTTCAACCTCCTGAGTGCTGAGATTATAGGCATGTACCACCACACCTAACTTTTTTTCCTTCCTTCATCTTCCTTCCTTCTTTTTTCCTTTCTTTTCCTTTTCTCTTTCTTCCTTCCTCTTTCTTTCTTTTTCTTTCTTTCTGTGTTAGAGATTAAAAGCAGGATCTTGCTTTTGTTAGGCAAGTGTTCAATGTCTGACCTATACTCCCAGCTTGTATATTATATATTCTTTCCCTGACTTCATATTTACCATGAGCTAGACATTATTCTTAGTGCTTGTCAAACATTCACTTGTTTGTCACAACAATCATTCCTGTTTTACAGACAGAAAAACTGAGACAGTTGGTCCAAATGACATAAATAGAAGGTGGAAGAATAGCTTTGGCTCCAGTGTTTGGGTGTCTCCTATGACCAACAGTTTCAGATACAGTTCTGATATGTGAAAGTATGAAACTTAGCCTCCCTGATAATTCATCAGAATTTAAAAATCTCTAGTCCTTGTCACTAAGTAGCTCTGTTACCTTAAGACATGTCATCTTTCATTAAAGGCATAAGGAGCCAACAATAGTGGCACACTTCTGTAACCCCAGCACTCAAGAGGCTGAGACTGGAAGATTGTGATTTGGAGGCTGTGGAGGAAATCCTGGCTGTAAAAAAAACTTCAGTAATGGGGGTTAGGATTATGTCTTCATCCACTCATTGAAGATGAGACCCAATGGGCTGTGGGAAAAACCAACAGGAAGCAGGAGTTTTTCAAGGAGTTTGGGCGGGGAAGGCAGGACTCTAAGCCAACACTTACAGTTGAGAGGATGTGCTGTTAGGAGCTGGGAGGACAGGGCCCTCCTTTGAGGTGGTCCCCTCCTCTAGGGGAATTCTGGGTGTGGAATTTGGGCAGGAGATGTTAAGAAAGGCTCCCTAGGGAGGGAAGAGGGGGGGATCCAAACAGGGGAAACAGGATGTGAAAACACAGCGTGAGCAAAGAAAACAAAAAAGCACTCTACCAGTTCCTAAAAACATCTTTGAACATCTATTAATGGCCATTTCTTAGAGTTTATTTTCTCTCCCTTGTAATCCTGTAAGTGGGCTCTATGAAGTCTTACATACCTAAAGCCTCACATAGGCCTCATCAGTGAATAACAAGTTCTTGTCCACCCACTGAGAGCCCACACAGAAGAGGAGATGCCTGAAAACCTCGGAATTTAATTAGAGGACAGACAGTTCTGACCCTGGGGCCAGTAAAGTGCAGAAGCCCTTCTGCTCACCTCTAAGGAAGCAGGCAGGCATCCTGCATGAATCAAAATACCCCTTGCCAGGGCGCTGGTGGCTCACACCTGTAATCCTAGTTACTCAGCCAGCTCAGATCTCAATCTGAAGGTTGTAGTTTAAAGCCACCTGAGGCTATAACTCTGTGAGACTCTTACCACTAATCAAAGAGCAAAAAGCTAGAAGTGGAAAAAGCTAAAAGATCATGCACCTAAGCTCAAGCCCTAGTACTGGTATCAAAAAAACAAAGCAAAGCCGGGCTTCAGTGGCTCATGCCTATAATCCTAGATACTCAGGAGGCTGAGATCTGAGGATCGCAGTTCAAAGCCAGCCTGGGCAGGAAACTCCATGAGACTCTTATCTCCAATAAACAAACCACTCAGAAAACCAGAAGTGGCTCTGTGGCCCAAGTGGTAGAGCTCTCACCTTGAGCTGAAGAGCCCAAGTCCAGAGTTCAAGCCCCATGACCGACAAAAATAATAATAAAAAAAAACAACAACCTCCTCCCTCTCTTATATTGCCACCAATTTTTTTTTTTTTTGACACAAGATCTCAATATGTAGCCTAGGATTGCTTTGAGTTCTCCATCTTCCTGCCTTAGCTTCTTCCCTAATGTAGAGATTATAGGCATATGCTACCAGCCCCAGCTAGCCACCTTTTTGCTTGGTACCAGTCCTGAGGCTTAAAGCTGTACCTGAGCTTTTTTGCTCAAGGCTATCATTTACCACTAGAGCTATAGCCCCACTTCTGGCTTTTGGGTGGTTAAATGGAGATAAGAATCTCACAGACTTTCTTGCCCAGGCTGTCTTTGAATCTCAATCCTGATCCTCAGATTGCAGCTTCCTGAGTAAGCTAGGATTACAGGTGTGAGCCACTGGTACTGGACTTCTTGTTGTTTTTAATTCTGGGGAGTTTTAAGGTTTTTCTATTCAAAAAGACAGGAGAATTAGGATGTAGGCTAGATGAGGATTAAGAGTCTTTTTTGGGAGGGGGAAGGGTCCGGTTGTGGGGCCTGGGCACTGTCCCTCAGCTCTTCAGCTCAAGGCTAGAGAGGCTAGCGCTCTACCACTTGAGCCACAGCGCCACTTCGCCTTTTTTCTTTTTGCTTATGTGGTGCTGAGGAATTGAACCCAGGGCCTTACGCATGCAAGGCAAGCACTCTACCACTGAGCCACCTTCCCAGCCCTAAGAGAGTCTTATTGTGGAAAAGACTGGCTCCTTGGAGAGGCTGAGGCTCCAGGATCATACTCTCCTCCCCAGGGCTCCACCTCTGGCTTCTCTCCCCTCCCCCACAGTAAGAGGATGGCTTTGGCCAGTGTGCTATCCTACCGCCTGGCAGGAACTGTAGATTTAGTCAGTAACACTTAAATCTTAAGAAAACAAGCAAGAGTGGTGAAGGGGATGTGAACAGAGAGGACAGAGGAAAGATTGAAATAAATGAGCTGGGGAAAAGGGGGATTGAAGATATGGTCCAGGGCAGGCTGTGAAAAACGACAGTAGCAGAAGATGCTGTTGCTGCTCTTTCTTGGGGTGGCCATGAGCAGATGTATACATGATGAGATCCAAAAGTCTGTGAGCCTTCTCAGGCCCCCTCCCTCCCAACTGCCCACAGACTTCCGCTCCTCTTCCCTCCCTGTCCCTGGCTCCCATGATCCTCAACCCCTCAGAATCCAAATCTACTCTATGGGAGACCCCATATCAAATGGAACTTGGGATCCTAAGGGGGATGAGATGAGAAGAGGGAAATCCCAAGCTCTGGCCGCAGTGAAAGAAGCCACTCAGCGAATCCAGGGCATCCTAGCAGGTGAGCTGAGGGGTAAGAGGCATCAGGAGGGCTGTGGGATAGAGGGGTCTAAGGGAAAAGAATAGCACAAAAAAGAAACTGTGCTGGGCACCCATGGCTCAAGCCTGTAATCCTAGCTACTTAGGAGGCTGACATCTGAAGATCACAGTTTGAAGCCAGCACGGGTAGGAAAGCCTGTGAGAATCCCATCTCTAATTAGTTAACAAAAAATTAAAGTGGGGCTGGGAAGGTGGCTCAGTGGTAGAGTGCTTGCCTTGCATGCATGAGGCCCTGGGTTCGATTCCTCAGCACCACATAAGAAAAAAGCCAGAAGTGGTGCTGTGGCTCAAGTGGTAGAGTGCTAGCCTTGAGCTGAAGAGCTGAGGGACAGCGCCCAAGCCCAGAGTTCAGGCCCCACGACTGGACCCAAAAAAAAAAAAAAAAAATTAAAGTGGAGCTATGGCTCAAGTGGTAGAGTGCTAGCCTTGAGCACAAAAGCTCAGGGACAGTGTCTAGGCCCTGAGTTCAAAACCTCAGGACCAGTAGGAAAAAAAAAAAAAAAAGGAACAGAATGTAGAGATATTGAAGTGAAATTATCCTCTTTAAAAAAAACCTGTCTTTAATTTTTTTTTGGGGGGGGGTCGGTCGTGGGGCTTGAACTCTGGGCTTGGGCGCTGTCCTTGCGTTCTTCAGCTCAAGGCGAGCACTCTACTGCTTGAGCCACAGTGCCACTTCCGGCTTTCTAGCAGTTTATTGGAGATAAGAGTCTTATAGACTTTCCTGCCCAGGCTGGCTTTCAACCTCGATCCTCAGATCTCAGCCTCCGGAGTAGCTAGGATTATAGGCGTGAGCCACGGGCGCCCGGTTGTCTTTAATTTTTGAAATTATCTTTAACTAGTTTTATAAAGGGGTTTCAATACACAAATCAGTTTATATGTACAGTGTATCTTGATCAATGTTGCCCCTTCCATCATTCTCCCAAAATTCTCCTCTTATTTTGTGAAGTCCTTCCAGTACAAGGACCCTTGCTTTTGAGTCGAGACCCTGAAAAATACTGCCATTCTGTCTGGGGAGACCCAGATACTCCTAATTACCACAGGTGAGTTTGTGTCCTTGAGAATATATACATTTCTTTGGGGATAATAAAAAATGTTTGAGCTGAATTGTTCACAGATATTCATTGTTGGCAGGTGCAGCCTTCTGAACCCAGGATACAAAGGAGAGAGTTGCCTGGGGGCAAAGGTAAGACCAGCTTTCCAATCTTAAGGATATGAAGATCTCTAACTAGTTAGACCTCCCCCAAACCTTCAGTATTAGAATTTTCAGTGTTTGAATTACTCTATATACTTCACAAGTAATATGGATTTCTTAGTCTTTCTTGGGTTCTGTGTTTGGTTTTGCTTCGTGCTAGAACTGGAGCTTGAACTCAGGGCTTAGTCACTATCCCTTAGCTTTTTCACTCTACTACTTGAGTCACAGTTCCAGTTCTGGTGTTCTGCTCTTCAATTAGAAACAAGAGTCTCAGACTTACCTGCTCAGACTGTCTTCGAAGCATGATCCTCAGATCTAAGATCTAAGCTTCCTAAGCAGCTAGGTTTACAGGCTTAAGCCACCAGTGCCCAGCTTCCTTAGTCTCATTCTCTCTCTCTCTCCCTCTCCCTCTCTCTCTTTTTCTCTCTCTCAGTTCTGGGGCTTGAACTCAGTGCCTGGGCACTGTCCCTGAGATTCTTTTGCTCAAGGCTAGCACTCTTTACCACTTGAGCCACAGAGCCACTTCTGCTTTTTGTTTATGTGGTACTGAGGAATCGAACCCAGGGCTTCATGCATGCTAGGCAAGCACTCTACCACAAAACCACATTCCCAGTCCTGCTTAGTCTTTCTCTATCCCCACTTTCCAAAATAGGTTAAAGTAGAGGCATATGGGTGGCAGAAGGCAGATTCTACTTTCTAATTAGCTGCCTAGATATCCCTAAGATAGACCAAAGATGTTCATTCTCCTTTGCTCCTTGTAGCCAGTTTCCCACTGTCCCCATCCATCCACTAAGCTACATGCTACATTCTACTCCCTGCCAGATACCTGATGCCCATCTCCGTGGTTATGCCTTGTGGCCAGAGCATGGTCCCCCACAATTAATCCAGCCAGACGGGCCTGGGGTCCAAAATGCTGATTTTCTCCTGTATATGCGGGTTGGTCACACTTCCAAGTGCCACCAAAAGGTGAGGTTGCAGCCAAATCTGCTTTCTCTGCTCTCTTAATGGTGTGTGTGTGTGTGTATGTGCGTGTGTGCGCGTGTGCGTGTGTGCGCGCGCACACATGGGTGTGCATATGTGCACATAAATGGGCTACTGCTGGGATTGAATTTAGAGCCTTGGCTGTTGTGTTGGTTAGCTTTCTACCTTCCTTCCTTCCTTCCTTCCTTCCACTTTTTTTTTTGGTTGGTTGTGGGGCTGAACTCAAGGCCTGAACTCAAGCACTCTACCACTGAGCCACCTTCCCAGCCCTCCACTTCCAGTTTTCTGGTGGTTAATTGGAGATAAGATTCTCATGGACTTTCTTGCCTGGGCTGACTTTCATCCTTCATCCTCAGATCTCCCCCTCCTGAGTAGCTAGGATTATAGACCTGAGCCACCAGCGCCCAGATTGCTTAGCCTCTTCTGTTTAAGATTGGTGCTCTACCACTCAAGCCACGTATCTACTTCTGGCTTTTTGCTGGTTAGTTGGACAAATGTAAGATCTCTCAGATTTGTCTGTCCTGGTTAGCTTTGAACCTCCTCCTGAGTAGCTAATATAATCAGGACCCACTGGTACTCGGATCTCTTAATCCTATATCTTGGGAGGGGAAGTAGTCTTTATTGAGGAGAGGACAGATTTTGTTAAATTGTGTTTCTTTGGGGGCAACTTGGGGCACGTGGATAAACCTAAATTGAATGAAGGTAGAATTAGAGGTGTGGTTCATTCCACAGCAGCCCTGAGCTGAAAATGTCAATGGGAAGCATAAGGCCCTAAGTTTAAGCCCTAGTACTGACAATAAAAAAAAAAAAATCCAGGAACTGGTTGTTCAGGCCTGTAACCCTAGCTATTCATGAAGCTGAGATTTGAAGATCAAGGTTTGAAGCTAGCCCGGGCAAACAAATGCAAGAGACTCTTCAGTTAACCAGCGACAAGCCATAAGTGGAGGTATGGTTCAAATGATAGATCACTAACCTTGAGCAGAAAAAGCTAAGCAAGAGCTTGCAGCTCTGAGTTCAAGTTCCAGTTTCATCACCAAGAAAAATAAACAAATTGAAAGCTGCTGGGACTCCCCAAGCCATCACTTGGTTCCACTCCATAATGCTTTGCAGGGCACCTGGGCCCTCTGTTTTCAGGAATATTTCTCCTATTTAGGTTACCTCTTTCTGACTCATCTGTTCCTTGCCCATTTGCAGCCTTCTGTCATAGCCTATGCTGCCTGTTGTCAACTGGACTCAGAAGACAGGCCCCTTGCTGGTACCATTATCTACTGTGCCAAACACCTCACCAGCCCCAGCCTCAGCCACGGTGACATCGTCATGGTGACTGCTGCACAATGAATTGGGAGCAGCAGACAGGTGGTGGTCATGGTGGCAGGCCATTCAGCTTCCTGTGAAGTGGAAGAACTGAGGAGAGAACAAGTTCTAGGAGATGACTGGGCAAAAGGACGGCAGAATCTCATGTATTCAGCTCTCCTCACTTGGCACTCATCTTTCCTTAGGCTACACTACACGAATTGCTCCATGCTCTGGGTTTCTCTGGACAGCTCTTCCAGAAATGGCGGGAGTGCCCTTCAGGACTCAGTGGTAAATGGGAGGAAAGAGGGGAAGGATTTCCCACAATGTTAACAGGAAGAAATTGACTACCTCCTGAACTCATTTGTTTCCATTCTGCTTTCTACATTTTCCTCTCCTTATAATTGCCTTCCTCCCTTTCTGTACTCAGTTAAAGAGAATTGTTCTACAAGGCAACAGGTGACAAGACAAGATAAGCGGGGACAGCTGCTTCTTACCACCCCAACTGTTAGCCATAGCCTGGCCAAACATTTGGGAGTGCTAGGGGTTTCTCTGAGCGCTCCCTTGGAAGAAGAGGTGAGAATGATAACACCTTGGGGTGATAGAAGAAAGAAGGTGTTGCCAAATAGCAACCAGCTCTTTGCTTTCTCCTCAGCAGGGCCCTTTGTCCTCACACTGGGAGGCCAGACTCTTCCAGGGTTCTATCATGGCTGCTACTTTTGATGGTGCCCAACGCACTCAACTTGACCCAATCACTCTTTCTGCCTTCCAAGATTCAGGCTGGTATCAGGTCAACCACAGTGCTGCCGAGAAGCTGTTGTGGGGCCATGGTGAGAAGTAAGGGCAATCTGAAGAGCAGTACTCACGACCCAAGATTGGTCATGAATGGCATAGGTTAGAAAGGATTATCTGGTCTAAAGGTGGATTTCAGGCTGTAAGCATAGTGTTGAGGGATGATGTCTTGGCCTTTATTTGTTGAAGGACCTTCCTTTTCTTATCTCTCAAGCAGGATCTGGCCTAGAATTTGGCCTAGTGACCACATGTGGGACTGACTCCTCAGATTTCTTCTGTACTGGCAGGTATGTATGTGGCTAAACTGAATGATTGGGGGATTGTACAACTGTCAGTGATCTTAGTGGCACTCTACTATCCCTTCCATCTAGCGGGCTGGGTTGCCACTACCTGCACTTGGACAAGGGAATCTGTTCCTCAGACCCCATGCTGGAAGGCTGCCACATGTACAAACCCCTAGCTAATAGGGTGAGTAGACTACGGGACAATGAAACTCAGATTGCTCTTGCTTGGCCTGCTTACTTACAGTGTGAGCCATACCTCCAGCTCTTTGAACTGTGATCTTCTAGTTCTCTTTCTCCTCAGCAGCTAGACTTACAGGTGTGAACTCCCAGTACCAGGCTGGGAATTACTTTTTTTTTTAATGTTTATTTTTTTATAAATTGTGAAAATACCGTACAGAGGGGTTACAATTACATGAGCAAGGTAATAAGTACATTTTTTTATCAAGCATTGTTGCGTCCTCCTTTGTTTCCCCTTACCATCCCTGCCCTCCCATCCACACCCTCCCCCCCTCGGGAATTACTTCTACCGTATCAAGACAACACTATTCTGCTTTCTACCCTGCAATGTAGAGTGAATGCTGGAAGAAAGAAAATGGTCCTCCAGCTGGGGCTGAGAATCCACATGGGGAGATCTACCATTCCCAGAGTCGTTGCTTCCTTGCCAACCTCACTTCACAGCTGTTCCCTGGGGATGAAACCAGCCATCCCTCTCAGGTCCCACATCTCAAGGAAGCAGAGCTCACTGGCCGATGCTACTTACATCAATGCACACAGAAAGGAGAGTACAAAGTGCAAGTGGAGGGATCACCTTGGGTTCCATGCCTTCCAGGAAAGGCTATTCAGGTGAGGTTCAAGAGGAATCGTTAGGGTACGCTAGCAAAATGAAATTGGAAAATAAACTGGGTGCCAGTGTTTCATGCCTATAATCCTAGCTATTCAGGAGACTGAGATCTCAGGATCATGGTTCAAAGCCAGCCCATGCAGGGAAGTCTGTGAGACTCACATCTAATTATCCACCAAAAAGCCAGAAGTATAGATGTGGCTCAAGTGGTATAGCCCTAGCCTTGAGTAAAAAAACTAAGGTATAGCATCCAGGCCCTGAATTCAAGCTCAAGCATTGGCACACACATACACATAAAGTTGGAAAATACCATTTTTTTTTTCAGCGCTGGGGAATCAAACCCAAAGCATTGCATATGCTAGGCCACCAATCTATCACTGAACTACACCCTTGCCCCTGTGTAACGTATTATATTGTTCTTTTTTTTTTTTTTAATACTTCAAATATCTGAAGTATATAGTTTCCTTAGAAGAAAGGCCTGAGCAGGTAATGGAGGCTGAAGCTACAACCCTGCTATGTGTTTTGTTGCAGGTGCCTGGGTACTATGGTCTTCTCTACTGTCCCCAAGGCAGGCTGTGTCAGAATGAAGATGCAAATGCAGTTATTTCACCTATGAGTCTTGCAACCCAAGACCTGCTATTCCAGCTGTCTTTAGGATTAGCTGGGCCTCCAGGCCACTCACTGGAGAAGGAACAGAGAGAAGAACTGGCTGAAACAGTACTACAGGCTCTAGTGAACAGAAGCAGTGCTGACAGGTAAAGGGACAGGTCAGGCTGAGGTGTTGTTTTGTGGGATTATTATTATTATTTTTTGCCAGTACTGTAGCCCAGGTTCATTACTGAGCTCATGCTTAGCTTTTTTTTTTTTTTTTTTTTGCCAGTCCTGGTGCTTGAACTCAAGGCCTGGACACTGTCCTTGAGCTTCTTTAGCTCAAGACTAGTACTCTATCTCTTGAGCCACAGTGCCACTTCTGGCCTTTTCTGTTTATGTGGTACCAAGGAATCGAACCCAGGGCTTCATGCATGCTAGGCAAGCACTCTACCACTAAGCCACATTCCCAGACCATGCTTAGCCTTTTTTTTTTTTTTGGTTGGCCAGGGGCCTGAACTCTGGGCCTAGGGGCTGTCCCTCAGCTCTTCAGCTCAAGGCTAGCACTCTACCACTTGAGCCACAGCACTACTTCCAGCCTTTTCTGCTTATGTGGTGCTGAGGAATCGAACCCAGGGCCTCATGCATGCAAGACAAGCACTCTGCCACTAAGCCACCTTCCCAGCCCGGCATGCTTAGCTTTTTAGTTCAAGGCCTGAGCTACATCAGTCATAACTCCAGATCCATTTTATTTTTTACTTGTTAACTGGAGATAAGTCTCATGGACTTTCCTGCCTCAGTTGGCTTTGAACCGCGATCCTTAGACTGCCTCCTGAGTAGCTAGGATCACAGGCATGAAGCTGAGTATACAATGGGCCACAGAGAACTTTTTTTTGTCTGTCATGGGGCTTGAACTCTCGGCCTGAATACTGTCCCTCAGCTCTTCAGCTCAAGGCTAGCGCTCTATACTTGAGCCACTGTGCCACTTCCTGTTTTCTGAGTGGTGTTTTTGGAGATAAGAGTCTCATGGACTTTTGTGACCGGGTTGGCTTTGAACCGTGATCCTCAGCTCTTAGCCTCCTGATTAGCTAGGATTACAGGAGTGAGCCACCAGTGCCTAGCTCAAAGAACTCTTAAGTCCTTTACTTCATAACTCCTCTGCAGACCCCACTCCTAAGCCTATACTAGTTTCATTAGCTAAATGTCATCCTTAAGAGATCTAATGTCCACTTAGGTGCTATTTCCACAACCCATCAGTCACCACTAGTTTGGTCTTCACTGTGCATATGTGGAAGTTCCCTGGTTGCCAAGGACCTTCAGCTGCTGTGCTATACAATGCCCTGACCCTGACTCTCCAGAAGGAGCCTCTTGAAGTATATCATGGAGAAGCCAGCTATACCACAAAATACAGCAAGTAAAGTAATATTCCAAACATTTTTTTTAATCCCTGGGATCAAGATGTTTGAAATTCATCTGCTAAGCACACACTCGAGTCTATTGTCCTATACATGGTTATCCATCTAAGGAAACAAAGATCTCTAAGTTCACCTTAGGCTCATTACTGACACTTTCTCCACACAAAAAAATGGATTTCCCTATTCCTAGTACTAATGTATCCCAGTCTTATTTTGGGTCAGGCGGGGGGTACCAGGGTTTGAATTCAGGGTCTTGACCTGCTTGTTTACTTAGCTGGCATTCTACCACTTGTACTATATCTCCAGACCTGCTTTTGGTTGGTTATTTTGGAGATGAAGTCTTACAGATTTCTGTACCTGAACTGGGCGCAAACTACAATCTTCTAGTTCTCATCCTTTGGAGAGCACCAGATAGGACTTGGATCTTGGGCTTATTCCTACTTTCCAGTTCTGTATTCTCCGATTTCCTGGTTAGCCTAATGCTTGGATAAAGCATGAAAACTGTAAAGACCTTCACCTCCTAAGCCTAGGGATTAATCCAGGCTAAACAGTCCTTCTCTATTTCTAGGTTGCTGGTTTCCTTGGATCATAACCTATCTATGAATCACATATTGCTGTCCTTGGGACTCTGTCTACCATTGGTAATTCTGGTGGGTATTCTGGGTACTGTGGTCTATCAGAAACGAGCTGCTCTTCAGGTGGGACCATTTGCCCCTTGCCATCACCAAACAAACATGGACTGAGGAGTCCAACTAGAATAATAAAAGAATTGCAGTGCTAAATGTACGCATTACCTTACTTATGAAACTGTAACCCCTCTGTATATCAATTTTACAATTAAAAAAAAATTGCAGTGTTATCCAGAACATGAAGATTGAGAATGATTTTTTTTTCCCCATTGGTTGTGGGGCTTGAATTTACAGCCTGAGCTTTCACTCAAAGCTAGCGTCTACCACTTTAAGCCAGAATGGTTATTTGGAGATAAAGAGTCTCATGGACTTTTTTTGCCCAGGAAGGCTTTGCACCGTGATCCTCAGATCTCAGCCTCCTGATTAGCTAGGATTATAGGTGTGAGCCACCAGTGCCTGAGAATTTTTTTTTTTCAGTTTATTGACATACTTTATAAAATAATATGGTAGATTTTCATTCAAATATTGTCATATAAAATTTCACAGTACACAGTGATACAAACTGATTAGTACTAGGTATGAAGGCAGCAAACCAAACCAGTACAGGGTAAAGTAGGTAGAAGACAAAATATTTTGCTAACCTTCCTACAATATTGGCACAGTCCATTAAATTCTGCAGTTAAAAAAAAAATCACTTAGTTTCCACTTCTTAATCTTCTATATGTTTTTAGTTTTAGTTTTTTAGTTGAGGTGGATTTTTGTTATGTAACCTAGACTGCCCAAGAACTAGCAATGCTCCAGCCTCAGCCTCTGTAATGCTGGAATGATAAGAGTATACAAATGCAGTACCACCACACCAAAGCACCAACACATTGTTATATCTACATTACATAAAATTAATGCTGATAGACAAAAAAGCTAATGTAACAATCTAAAAATCTTGCAAGTAGTTCAGTGATTTAAAAGTAACAAGGAAAAAGCTCTACCAGAATATTTGTGTTTGTGTGTGTTGGTTGTGAAGCCTGAACTCTGGGCCTGGGTGCTGTCCCTCAGCTCTTCAGTTCAAGACTAGTGTTCTACCACTTGAGCCACACCACTTCGGGCTTTTCCTGCATACGTGGTGCTGAGGAATCGAACCTGCTAGCACTCTACCACTTGAGTCACAGCGCCACTTCCGGCTTTTTTCTTTTTGCTTATGTGGTGCTGAGGAATCGAACCCAGGGCCTCAGGCATGCAAGGCAAGTGCTCTACCACTGAGCCAACTTCCCAGTCCTCTCCCAGAATATTTTTGTATATACTTTTCTATTGTCACAAATGACAAAATAAAAATGTTACATCTTAAAAAGAAGCTAAAAGCAAAATTCACTTTTCCTCTGAAAACACCATTTCTTAGCTCTTAAATCTAAAGAGAAAAACTTTAATTTTTTTTGGAGAGTATTTCATAAATAAAAACATCAAGTTTATGTTAGTTATACAATGGATCATGTAGCAATATTTTCAACTTAAAGAGAAAATATACCATTGATTCAAGAAAATTTAAAGCTAAAATGTAAATATATTGAAGTAATACGTGTCACACATTAACATGTTCCATCTTTTCTCAGAAATCCATAATTAGGAAAAGTAGGTAGGATAAGGTATCTTTTTCAACTTGTGGTCCGCTGAGCTAAGAAGCACTGGGCCAGCAATTCCTCAGCCTCAGGGAGCCTCACTTCTTAAGCTTATACTGAACTAATTCCCCTCCTGTCTCTTTTTCTCTTACAACTTTTTGCTTTTGTGACTGATAATCTGAAAATCCGATTCCTTAGTACCACATAAACAGAAAAAGCCGGAAATGGTGCTGTGGCTCAAGTGGTATAGAGATGAATAGCTGAGGGACAGCACTTAGGCCCAGAGTTCAGGCCCCACAACCGATTAAAAAAAAAAGAGAGATAACTAGATGAAAAATATCTTAGGTATATTAAAGTTCTACTTTCTTTAGACTGCCTCTTTTCCATGAATCAACTTCATACTAGTTTTGCAATGAAAAAAGTAGCCTTATGGTTATAAAGATCCATTCTTTATTTTGGTATTAAAAAAACTGCCTAAATTGTAAAGTGTCACTTTTATACTGTTTTAGAACAGGAACAGAATAGGAACATCTGCTACCAACTTCAAGGGTATCACATATACTTCAGGTCATTGCTATCAGATATTTTTACTTTTTGGCATTGCTATTATGAGTCAAAGAGCATAGAAGATAGTAACTAATTATCTCCCTCTCCTGATTTTCCATGATTTTTCTTTTTAAATTGTTTTACTGTTATACAGGTTATGTTCAGAGAGGTTACAATTAGATGTTAGGTATACATTTCTTTTTGGACAATGTTGCGCCTTCCCTGGCTCTCTTAGTTTTTCCCTCCTATCCCCACTGATTTTCTATAATTTTTCAAATTATCACTAAGAAATCCACTGGTTGAGCTGAGTGTCCGTGGCTCATGCCTATAATCCTAGCTACTCAGGAGGCTGAGATCTGAAGATCTCGGTTCAAAGCCAGCCCAGGCAGGAAAGTCCCTGAAACTCTTAGCTCCAATAAATCGCCAGAAAACTGGAAGTGGTGCTGTAGCTCAAATGGTAGAGCACTAGCCTTGAGCTGAAGAGCTGAGGGACAGTGCTCAGGCCCAGAGTTCAAGCCCCACGACCGACCAAAAAACAAAAAAAAAAACAAATCCATTGGTTGGCAAGTGACATAATTATGCTAGTGTCTGATAAAGAGAGTATAAAACCAGCTATCTGAGTCAGGTGCCAGTGGCTCACGCCTGTAATCCTAGCTACTCAGGAGGCTGAGATCTGAGGATCCTGGTTCAAAGCTAGTCCAGGCAGGAACATCTGTGAGACTCTTATCTCCAATAAACCACTCAGAAAACTGCAAGTGGTGCTGTGGTAGAGTGTTAGCCTTGAGCTGGAGAGCTGATGGACAGCACCCAGGCCAAGAGTTCAAGCCCTACAACCGACAAAAAACAAAAACAAAACAAAAAAAAGCCATCTGAATACAGCTAAACTAGAAAAATACCTTTTTTTCCCCTTCTTTCCTGTTGCTGAAGGATTTTTTTTTTTTTTTTACTTTATTCTCATTATGGACCATAGACTAGTTATTAACAGTAGGCACTTTTTGGTTATAGCTGTGAAAGTCATTGAATTCTTGAGGTTTGGCATCACTTGGAAAGCAAACTAGAAGATTGTTATGATCTGGATTTGCTTAAACAAATAACATTTCCATTAAGAGTCCAGTTGATAAACTGGAAACATTGAAATAAGCATGTCTGTGCTTATCAGCAAGTTCAGTCAGTTCACTGGATACCACCCCAGAATCTTCAAGTGGCAAATCTGAACAGAGGTTTCACTGTAGAGTTATGGCCTTGGCTCCATTAGCTATGGTATCTTCTTTCATCTGAATATCTATCAGTCCTTTCCAGCTGTAGCAGCCACTGCGTGGTAAAACTTTGCCACAAAATCTGGTTCACTAACTTCTAGCTGCCGGACAAACTCATTGCGTTCCTCCTCAGCCCAACCTCGAAACCACTGATCCCAGAGACGTAGCTGACATTCAAAGATACAAGGTGGTCGATTTGCCCCAGATACACTAAGCTGCTCCAGACTATCCAGCAGGGGCTGTAATTTTCCTGGCACTGCTTTAGCTACCATGTCCTGTAGAAAACGTTCACGCTGGGGAGCAGACCAAGTGGCAAACCAGTGAAGAATACACTTCATCTCCTGGGAAGTGATATAAGACATTGGAGGAGGGGAGGAGTTGGTAATACTGTCTGGTACTGAGGGTAATGGAGAAGGCAAGGATTGTGGCAGTGAAGAGGAAGATGATTCCAGTGGCATCCTGAAACATAAAATTACTGTTACTTTCTGGATAGTGACCAAAACACATTTTCCTAGCAACAGTTAATCTTATGGCACCCAGTCTGCATCTACAGAAAAAACTACTGTTCAATTCAGTTCATAGGAAAAATAGGATCCTATTACTATTATCATTGGTGATACTAGGGTTTCAGTTCAAGGTCTCATATTCCTTTGGCTTGATTACTCATGACTCAAGCTCCATCACTTGAACCACACCTGCAGTCCAATTTTTTTTGCTATTCTGTGCCAGTAGTGGGGCTTGAACTCAGGGCCTGTGCTTTTGCTTAGCTTTTGTTTTTGCTAAGGGCTGATGCTCTACCACTTCAGCCACAACTCCACCTCCCTTCTGCTGATTATTTGGGAGGTGGAGTATTGGGGACTTTTCTACCTGGGCTGACTTTGACCACTGGCACCTGGCTTACTATTTGATACTTTTTATTTTGGCAATATTGGGATTTGAACCCATCTTGAGCTTGCTAGGAAGGCACTTTAAGTAACTTCGGTCAGTTACACCCCAAACTTTTTTTTTGTCAGTTGTGAGGCTTGAACTCTGGTCCTGGACACTGTAGCTCAGCTCTTCAGCTCAAGGCTAGCACTCTTGTCGAAAACAAACTTTACAACTTTGGTGCGGGGTGGGGGGGGGGGGGGAAGCGGGGAGAATTGGTTGGGGGGGCGGGGGGAGGATGGGAAGGGATGGGAAGGAGAAACAAAGGAGGAGGCTACAATGCTTGATAAAAAATGTACTCATTATCTTGCCCATGTAACCCCTCTGTACAGTATTTTCACAATAAAAAGAAAAAAAGGCTAGCATTCTACCACTTGAGCCACAGAGCCACTTCTGGTTTCCTGGTGGTTAGTTGGAGATAAGAGTGTGACAGACTTTCCTGCCCAGGCTGATTTTGAACCACGATCCTCAGATCTCAGCTTCCTGAGTAGCTAGAATTACAGGTGTGAGTCACTGGCGCCAAGCCCCAACCTCCTGGGCCCCCTTTTCTTTTGGTCAGTCTTAGGGCTTGAATTCAGGGCCTGCGCACTGTCCCGGAGCTTATTTTGCTCAAGGCTAACACTCTACCACTTGATCCACAGCACCACTTCTGGCTTTTTCTGTGTATGTGGTACTGAGGAATCAAACTTAGGGCTTCATGCATACTAGGCAAGCATTCTACCACTAAGCCACATTCCCAGCCTTTGTTTTGTTTTTTTTGAGATAGAACTTTGCTACG